TAAAGGCGTTCTCATTCAGGGACACAAAAATCAGGAATGAGAGAACGGAAATGTATACAGATATCCTCAGTGCCTGATTTACCACCGCTGTGACAGAGGAAGCTGTGGCTGAAATGTAACATCAGGAGAAAGCAGGTGCTTTCACCACAGCAGCTTTTAGTCATCTGAGACCTCACCTGAGTTAAGAACATGTTTGACGAGAGAAAGGCTATTTGTAAATCACATCACTCACCAGGGGAGAATATGAGGGCCTTTTACAGGCTTTCAGTTACTGACTGAAACAAAAGATGGTTTGACTGGCAGGAGATGTGACTGAAGTTCTGAAATGTTTGTTGATTTCTTTAACTATATTATTGTTCAGTCCTTGTAAATTTACACTTTACACTCATGCTTCCTCCCGGTCCCCATGGCGCAACAGCCTTCAGGCAGGAGATCCGAAGGTGTAATCAAATTAAAACAGCTGTGGCTGCGTTCATTTGCATCATCAGTGTTAGTAAATACACTGCTAAATAAAAAAGTGGGGTGCTGCAATATATTCCGTGCCTGACAGTAATTTGTGACATGCTTTGTAAATATCCCCTAAATGTTTTTGATATTGTATGAAATGAATGAAAACCAAAGGTTTCCTGCAGCGGCATGAAAATCATATATATTGAAGTGTAGTTTTGTAATTTCTGCCAATGAAATAGTGGCACAAAATGTGCAGACTGTATTGAATCCTGGATATGGGAATGAAGGCTTGAAGGTTTTGTGCAGGCTTAAACACACATGCTGTGTTAGACAGTGGAATGGTGCTCTGGGCCAAAGTAACTCCACCTCCTCCTGGCACCAGTTTCTGTTTATCTCTGTTTGAGCACAACCTTAATTGAAGATGAGCCACAACAGTTGACACAAAGATCACACCTTCAGCTATGAAGTTTGCTCAATCTCTTATAAGGATGGTGCTCCAACCCTCTTCCTCTCTCCTTTAATCGGCAGTGCACTGGAGTCATTAGCCTCCGCGATCCCCTCGCTCTCCTTGCTCTCGTCCTCCTTCCTTCCTTTCAGAGCTTCACAATGAAGCCATTTGCATCCCTCCAGGTTGCTATGATACTCGGCCACCACAAAATGAAATGTTTTGCCTTTGCTTTGAAGGTAGATTTCAAGAGAAAAACAGCTGCAGGAAAATAAAAAAAAAACTGTATATGGTGCTGAATGTGTTTTGTTTCTAACGTTGTGACTAACTTAATCACACTGTTTTCATTTATTTGGTGATTTGGTTTCTTGTATCCTGCCTTTTTTTGTGTCTGGGTGTTTTTCAGAGTGCCTAATGATGCTGTTAGTTGTTTTTGACTCCCTGCCATATGTGCATAGACACATCAGAGCGCCTCGAGGCAAAGACTATTCTTTCCTCTCACTCATAATGGTTTGCTTTCTAGCTGCGTATGCCATGAGGATGCAACAAACAGAAGAAATCCTGCTGTGGTGTTAATGCACTGAAAACTACAAGGCTTTGTTAGATGCTGATGCACATTCAATTTCACGGGTTTCCTGAAGAATCTTCACCATCAAACTGCAACTTTGGTGCCTTGTTGTTAAGTTTATTTTATCGTTTGCCCTCATAAAACAGAAATTCCCACAGAAGAGGGTTTGAAAGAGCAGAAAGCGAGCTGTCAAGTTTCAGACAGATTGTCCTTCTGGGAGAGTGTCAGGAGACTTAAATGAAGTCATACCACAAACCCTCAAGCCTTATTACTGTACATTAGCGCTCCACTAAGTACCTGTCCACCTTAACATCCTCTGGGATATTTCTGGCCTTTGATGAAGCTCGACTGACGGCTGGCGAGGAACACTTTCCTCCCAGATCTGTCACTTCTGCTCGGCAGAGCCTTCTGCATAGCACTGCAGCGTGGCTTAGCACTAATTAGCCCTGTGGAAATATAGACAGAAATCCACTTTCCACTGCAAGAGGAATTCAGGCTAATGCTGGAGGAGGTTTTGTGAGGGGTGTTTTATGCCTGTCCTTGGCACTGTGTGGCAATGTCCCGTTCCTTGATGGACGTGGTGGGTTTTAGTGTTTCCTGCCAGGCTGTGCTCCCCTCTTTCACCCTCTGGCCCATCCATCTCCTTCTGCCTCTGTCTGAAATTCGGCTGACCTTTTGTTCCACCTCACAGTCAGTGTGCACAGGCCAGCTCCACCAATCGCCAAGCCAGAATTCTCATACCTCTTTATTTGATTTGTACTGCAGAGTCCAGTGCTTTCATTAGCTACCCAAACACCCCCTCTCCCCCATTCCTTCCAGTGTCTTCACTGGTAGGGGTGGCGAGTGCATTTCATGTGGCAGAGGTGATGTAATTTACAATCAGGAGGAAACTCTTCCTGTCCTCCTCATGTTCCTGATCATTGTGGTGATTGGATTTTATTTGTGCCTGTTTGCCTTGTTTTTAAACACCGCTTTTTCTCCTCCTCTCTGCCTCAGAGGACTTCTTCTTGACTTTGCAAAAGTGCTGAGGTAGCTTCCCTGTCGATCCAAGCAGGAGTGCGCTGTGCCGTGTTGAGGCCTGTCATGACTGTGACCTGTCAATCATTTAGATCTTTGGGATTGACAAATTGATCCAGACTGCCTCATTCCAGCCACTAATTGCATCTTAAGTTGAACAAGCATCATGACTCAACTTTCCTTCATCTTAAATCTCTTTCTCATCATGTGGATTCTGCATTAATTCCCCAGTTGCTTCTCTGATCACATGCATCTGCCACCTTGTCCTTGCAGCATCATCAAGTCTTTTCTGACCTCCCCCCCCCAACCTCCACATACTCTGGCTCTTTTCTTATTCAGTTCTAACATCAGTACAGGTCTGCTGCACTGTGATAAATACTAAAGAACAACTTCAGCAGCTGCAGCAGTTCATGTGTGACCACTACCAATCAGAGCTCATTGTTGTACAATGTGTGCTTTGCTGGACTTGGCATCCATGTGATTGGGCTTTGTTGAGAGAGAGAGAGAGTGTGTGTGTGTGTGTGTGTGTGTGTGTGTGTGTGTGTGTGTTAGTCCTGCTCTCCCAGCAGGTCAAAACAATAGCTGTCTTGTGTTAATAAGATGAAGGGACAATAAATTCCTCTTAATATCCTGTAAGCATAAAAATACACAAGCCCACAGGGGTCCAGAAACATGTTGTTCCATCCATAACCTGTCATTACAACTAGATCTGCTGTTAAAACAATGAATCTGTGTAACCACAATGTGAGACATTAGGTCCAGTAAAAATCTGCCTTTTAAGAGTTGTATCAGTACGTTGTATGTATGCGCGTCCCGTGTACAGAGAGTCAGACTTGTTTAATACACATACTCTATAGGCCACAAATCACAGAAGGCTTAATATTTCTGGTGAGCAAATGTCATTAGAATGAACTGGGGTGGAACAAAATATCTGGTTCTCACTGCTACACACGATCTGAGATATTCGCCATGACAAAGGGCTATGTATTTCTGCTGGCTGCAGAGGGTGGTAATGCAGATTGGCAGTGGTATTAATGCCACTATAAAAGGAGAGAAGAAGTCTGCAAGCCAGTTCACATTTAAAAACATTTTATAAAGACTCTTTAAATGTAGTATGGGTATTGACGATGTTTGTTAGACCTTTATGACAAAGCACATTTTGGAGGAAAAAATGAATGGACATGGTTTCACTCACTTGGAGACAGAAAAATCATCGATCTTGAATGTGCAGCCTGTGGCATTGCTCTGTCGGGAGGGAGCAGGTCACCACAGGACACCCAGCTGAATGACGGGGGCTATGGGTCGCGTGTAGCTATTGTCATAGACTCTTAGACTCAGTCCCTCATTAACAAAGAGAACATAGCAAAGCTAAAACAAAGCTACGTGGTGCTACAGGCACCACGTAGACATTTACCCTGTCAGATAAAGGCATGTAGTGTCTGTTCTGGTATGAAGCACAATAGCTTCAAGTGCAGAGGTAATTCATATTCTATAATTACTAATTCAAATTCTACAATTATCAGTTTGTATGACTTTAAGGAATTAAATGTAATATTGGAGATATTTTATATATACCTGTGCTGCATCCATTTACAGCATGTGATTTGCATACTTCAAAAAATTCCTAGCTTTTCTATGTGGCGGTAAATTGTCAACAAAAATGAGTTAAGGATAAATGTGTGCTGGAAAGGTTCTCTTGCTATCAAAATGTAGGAGTTCAGGTCTGCACCGGCTCCCAGGGGAAGCAGGACAGAACACCCACAGCCAGATTTCCCAGAGAGCCCAGATATTTTTACAAGCCTCCTAATGAGAGCTGTTAAGAGAGCAGAAGCTGTGTAACCAAGTGGCTCGTGAAAGTACAGAGGCGCCGCTCTGCCTTCAAATTTGATCAAGGTACAGAAATGAAAAGCAAGAGTGGGTAGATGTGGGTGAGTGCATGTGAATGTCACACTGTCAGGAAAACAAGGAAATTTTTAAATTAAGGACCATTTGCAAGAGAGACAGGAAGAGGGAAGAGTTGAGAGAATTAAGGGGTTCAACCTTTAGTTTAGCCTTTGCGTTGGCATTCGCTGTTGTCTCAAGAAGATTATGGATAGTGTGCACAAGTCCTCTGGTCCTCAACCCACTATAATTCACTTTGGGGAGTGTGTGTGGTCTATGCGTGCATCTCTGAGTAACCTCTCAACATTCCTCATGAAGCACTGTGATAAAGGGAGGCTACAGCTGTGTGGAAGCCTAAGAGATGAAGATACTGAGCTATGTGCACACAACTGTTCAGATCAAGACTCATTTGCATCTGCAGAGTGTGAGCAGGAGCATTCAAGCCTCAGTATGTCCAAGTGTATGTCACAGCCCCTGGGCTACCCATGACCTTTAAATCACTTTCTAGTTTGGCTCTAATTGATGGAATAAACCATATGGTTTGGATGGAGAATCCTGTGGGGTTAAATCAGGTTAACACAAGAACACAAAGGGGATTTCTCAGGGGTGATTTTATACCACGTTATTGTGTGTCCACAGGTTCCTCTTATTACGACAACGTGAGGCCACTGGCGTATCCTGATTCAGATGCGGTTCTCATCTGCTTCGACATCAGCCGCCCAGAGACTTTGGACAGTGTCATAAAGAAGGTCAGTGTTTGTTTGGTTTTCCCTGTTTTCTCTCAGCACTTGGGATCAGCATTCTGCTCTGACACCAGAGAACCATTCATCGTTCCTGATCAGCATATTCTATCCACTCCGATTTCTGTGCCAACACCTGGTATTTTCATGGCTCAACAATAGAGCACCACCCAATCTTTATCTCATCCATGGTTACTTGACCCTCATGAGGAGCAGAAGATCAGAGTGAAGAATCAGAGGGTTTCCTGTTGAGTGGGATCAAGAGGAATATCAGACTCACAAACTGACCATATTAAAGAGATGTTGCACAGCCTGTTCAAGTACTAGAAATGGCCTTTCTGTAGACTTCTGAAATTGAGTTTTATGCAGAACAGTTGGCCAGATGGTGGGAGTTAACATTTGTAGATAATGTGTGGTACTGGCTGGCCCAGGTTTACGGCCATGGTTGTGTTTTTACAGTTGAATGCACACATGAATTGTGAAATACTGCAGTATACCTTAGGTGACACCCAGTTTAATGGGCATGTTTACGTGCATGTGTAAAACAGGTCTGTGCCTTTTTTGTATTCTCCCATTTTAAAGCCGTGTGTGTGGGTTTGCCTTTGAACCATAATCCTTGCAGGTCTAAGACAGTTTCCTGGCTGACTTGCTGACATGTTTAGTGGTCTGAGGAGACCTGCTAAAATGCCCTTGTAGACTTAAGATCTACCCCAAGACACCTTTTTAAACCCACAAAACATCTCACAAGCCTCAGTGCACTCTGTCAGCAGAGGGAAGCAGAACTGCCGTCAAGCTTTTGGTTTTCCCATGAATCCCTTTGCAGGGGGCTTCCATGACCCCAGACCCCTAAGCTGTCACCCTGGTAATTTCTGAAGCCCAGGAGCACATGGAAAACCTTTTGCACAGTCACCGTCCCAAATTAGGCTCTAGAAACAAGAAGGTCACTAAGGTTGCTGGTTGACAGCTGGGGGAGGAAAGAGGATTAAACAATCAAAACTTTTGACTGGATGTTCTTGGCAGAATAGTGATGGGCCTTAAAGGTCAAAGGTTGTTTTCAAAGTGAAGGATGAATAGACCTCCTGACATTCTGCACACGGCATGTGGAACATTTCAGGGCATTCGGGTGCCGTCATGCATTTGTATTGCAAGGAGGAGAGACTGTGTTGATTCAGCTGAGTTTCAGAAGTGACATTTAATCTCAGGGTGATTTTAGAGAGAAGACTGCTCAACCTTTTCTGTACAGAACCTGAAATAGATTTGTTGGCAGGGGCTGCATGAGGTACGCATAACTCATTTCAGGTGCTGCAGAAACCTGAACCCTGCCATGAATAACCGCCCATTTTAACTTTTTTTTTTTTTTTTTTTTTTAAATCTTGTGTAACGATTTTACTTGGAGCTTTCCTTTACGAGAAGATGTGCCTTTAGTAACACTGCTAGTTGACATGATTAGCCAATTAATCAACAGAAAATTTTACAGAAAGTTATCAATTATTTTGATTTTCAGTCAGTTGTAAAGCAAAAATGCCAAATATTCCTTTGCTCTAATTTCTTTGTCTTGTAAAAGTAAATTCAGTATATTTAGGTTTTGGATGGTTGGTTTAATAGGCTTCAACTAATTATTTTGTCTAGATTTTTTTTTTTTATTAATTGGTCTGTTTAGCCTTTCCAGTGCCAAAAATATGAAAGTAAAAAAAAAAAAGTTGAGATTGCTTATTTTGTCCAGTAAATCAAATTTATTTATATAGCACTTTAAAAACATCCAGTTGACCAAAGCTCACAATAAATAACTAAAATAAAAAGGATCAAATGGTCAAAAACCCACATTTTCAACAGAATTATTTATTATTGAGGTCATAGTTAAAGCTGGCGTTGTACTGGACTACATTATATTCAGGGGTGTTCCTAATATTCTGATCCTCTCATAGATGTAGCCCTGTGTGGCACCACGTTTAACTGTGACCTCAATAATATACTGTATATATAATTGAATTTATACATTTGACAATTTCACCAAAATATAACATTTAGCTTCATAAACACAGATGTCGAGTCAGAGTTGCATTGAATTGCATAGAATTGTAAAGGTGTACCTAATAAAGTGGCTGGTGAATGTACATATGACATTTGACCCTTTAATTGAACAAATGTCTCATCAGGAGAGCATTCATTTTCCCCAAGCTCAGATACTGTATCCAGTGTCAGAGAAGCCAAAGCTCATCACTGTACCTCAGCTCACCAGTTAAGATAAACATACTTTATTGATCCTGAGAGAAATTCAGGAAGCTCTGCATTAACCAGCCATGCATTGTTCTGTCGGTTCTTCAGTGGCAAGGAGAGACGCAGGAGTTTTGTCCCAACGCCAAAGTGGTGCTGGTGGGCTGCAAGCTGGACATGAGGACAGATGTCAACACCCTAAGGGAACTCTCCAAGCAGCGGCTCATCCCTGTCACCCACGAGCAGGTGAGAACAGGCACATGATGGATATCTGAGGAGAAAGAGGTGGGATAAATAAATCAAACAGGAACTTGGGAGGTGCCCTGGAAAAGAAGAAAGGCTGAATGGAAAGAAATTAGAAAGCAAGCTAGCAATATTATGTGATTCCCCCCCCATCTTGGATCAGCAGTGGCACTGCCTGTCTGGTGAAGTCCCACAGGAAGGGTGTGAGTAGGGGGGTAATGCAACACATTCAACCACAGCAGAATAAGAGCTGTGTGAAACCCCTTGGGGACATGTTGCTGGTGTTAGCATTTTAACCAAAATTTGCTGACAAGAGATGCGAGGTCGCTTATGGCAAGGGCGGTTAGTGGAGTTTATGTCCAGGGATGCATTTTTCCCTGAAATGAAATATTCATGCAGATTTAGGGATTTTCAAAATGCAGGATGAATAGAAAAACAGACACTGATAAATGAGTTGAGCCCTTTTATCACATGCCGCCATGACCTCTAAGCCAAGGGAATGTGGAGAAAAGGGAGGGGAGGGAGAACTGTTCTGTAAATCTGTGAATTTTAATCAGCTTTCAGCATGTTCATTTTGTGCTCTCCCATGTTGGACATAGAAAAAGTGGAGGAGCTTTTTCACCACCACACAAAAGCTCTCAGAACAAAGGAGCCTTTTTCCCCGCACTGCTCCAGAGCTCACCAGAGGCTAAAAGCATGCAGCCTCCAACAAAAAACAGCAACTGAAAAACAGACAGTTCATGTAAATAAGATACATCAACAAAAGATGGTGTGGCAAACTGCAGAGCTAATGTAAAGTAGCTGGGACCATTTGTGGCTGGCCTACATTAAGCTATTGTTTTTCTCCTTGTCGGTCGCTATTTTTGTCTGGGACAGCTACTGTTTTTGCCTCTAACAGCAGAAAATGTGTGTCACAGCAGCTGCCAGAGCTATGCACGACAAACATTTTGGTGCCAATAACATGCGTTACTATACTGTTGTTAATTTTTAATTTGAATTCCAACACATCTTAGGAGTCACCAGTGAAACTTACCACTGGACAAATTCCTGACATTTCCAGACTAATCTGCCCAAGTTCAGATCAAGCGTTCCCTTTCGTCACAACACCTTCTACCTCGGCTGTTCCACCTGAGGACAACTTCATTGCTTCTTGTAGGTGGCTCAGGGTATAGTGAGTTATAACTATATACATATAGTTATTTAAAAAAAAATTTAAACCTCATCCATTGGGGATGAAAAGCTCTCTGTGTTTTTTTTCAATTGAGACTTTTGGCTAAGGTTAAACACTTTCTTTCTTTTAGTGATTTTGAAAAGGCAATTCATGCCTTTATTAGCACTAGACTAGATTATTGTAACGCACTGTATACTGGCATTTCTCAAGCTTTATTGTCCCGACTACAGTTGGTCCAAAATGCAGCAGCTCGTCTTTTAACTAATCTTTTATACTCCAGAAAGGACACTTAGGTCTTCGAACCAGTTGTTCCTGGAAGTGCCGAAGTCCAGACAGAAACATTGGGGAGACCGAGCTTTTTCAGTTCGGGCTCCTATACTGTGGAATGGTCTGCCACGGGAGATTAGATCTGCTCCGAACCTGTCTGTTTTTAAATCACTTCTTAAAATGCATTTGTATTCACGGGCCTTCGACAATTTTATTGATTGATGTATTTGTTTTGACTGTATTTTTCTTGTTATTTTACTGTATAGATGTGTTTTATCTGGTCTTAGGTATCTTTATTATTATTATTATTATTTGTTTATGTTTTACTGGAAAGCACTTTGTAACGCAGGTTTAGAAAGGTGCTATATAAATAAACTTTGCTTGCTTACCGTGCGATATAAGGCTCATGGGAAATGCAGTTTTGTCTCAACCTTTTCATGTGTGGGTCCTATGTGAACGTGGGTTTAAAGTCTGATCATAAAAGAGATGGCTGCACTGTATTGTAGCAAAGAGAGAGGGCAAGGGATTTGAAAATTAAATTTGACTCCGATTTGATCTCAAGAAAACAATTTAGAGCCTCAATTAGCTGGGCATGTTGCAACATTCCTCAGGGGTAGGCTCTAGTGCTGGAGGAGTTAAAATATAGTCTCTCCTCTTTAAATAGCTGCATAGACCATGTCCAGTGGACTTGCTCCTTGTTGCTCTGTTGCCACTGAGGAGTCAGAGCCTTATTCATTATTCATGTCTCTGATGGAGGAGCTTCATTTGTCTTCAGACATGTTTAGATCATTGACATTCAGTCAGTGGTTTAGATCTTTGTCTCAGGGCTGCTGCTACTTTAGGGGACTTTTAGTCTCCTCCTGTTGAGATGAAGTGACTGCTTATGCTAAGGCACAACAAAGGATGGCATGCATATTGTAAAATTTCCATTTCTTTATGAAGCGCTCACACAGTAGCTTTAATGTAACCACAAAAATCCTGAGGATACAAGAGAAGAAACTCATGATCAGAAGCTCTATTTGAAACAAATCAGAACACAAAGCCACTAAAATGAACTGAAAGGAGCAGAAGCTCAAGAAAAATTCAAGACGTTAAAGCAGATGTTTTTGTAGCACTGCTCATAAAATGCTGTGTATCCTCCTTTTTCCCATTTTGTTCATACTGTACAGCACTAATTTCTCTTTTAAAAGATGCTGTATTAAAGAAATCTACTTTGTTAATCTCTTGCATCGCCTGTTTTGTGTTGCAGGGGAGCACGATAGCTCGACAGATGGGGGCGGTGGCCTATGTAGAGTGCACCTCCAAAGTTTCAGAGAACAGCGTTCGAGATGTGTTCCACATCACCACCCTCGCGTCAGTGCGGCAGCCGCACAAGCCACAGCTAAAACGCAGCAGTTCCCGCAGAGGCCTGAAGCGAGTTTCACAGCTGCCCCTACCAGGTCGGACTGACCAAATGGACCAAGCCCCGGCCATAAGGAAGGACCGGGCCAAGAGCTGTGTGCTCATGTAGAGAACCAGTATTACAAATATACATATGTATATGCATAAACACAGAAATATATAACAGAGGAAGTCTATTTATTGTATTTTGTTGTTGTTTTTTCCTCATTTTCATTTTTTGCACTGCGGAAGAGAGGAAAATAGAAAACTGCACTGTGGAAACAAATGCTTCAGATTTTTTTTTTTTTTTTTTTTTGTTGTTGCCTGTGTGCATATTTTCTAAACTGTTTATATATTTGTGTTTTGAAATGATGGCAAATCAGACTAACCCTCCGAACACAAGGAGGCTGCGACAGTGGGAGTGCCATCTAGTCCCTGGTATTAAAAAAGTAATGAATTTCCTGAAACCTCAATAAGAGGATGTTACAGCGGCAAAGTGATGGTGAGGAGACTGAAGTGTGTGTGTGTGTGTGTGTGAGTGAGGAGAAACATGTTGAAGCAGAACACTTGAGAAAGAAGCCTGGTGTTGCTCGGCGGATGTGAGGACCAGTTATTCAGCCGGCTGCCTGAAGCTGCTTCCTGTTCGAGAGGAAACCTTGTATGTACAGTAATGTTGAAAATTAATTCTAGCATTGAGGTGAATGGTGGTGCAAACCAAACTAGGAGCTAGAAATGAGATTTTGTAGCACTGACTGAAAAATTGTGAGTGTTTGTGTGTTGTGTGTGTGTGTGTGAGAGAGAGCATTACTACCACAAGTGCATTTTAACACTATTTTTCCTCAACAACTCCCAACTGTGTCAGTTTGATTCACTCAAATGAATGCCATTGTCACCGTTTTAAAGATGTATCTTTGTGGAAAATAAAGTGGTAAAATGTTAGGGCTATTTTGTTGTACTTTCACTAAACACTTAAATAAAACAGCAGCTTGACTGATTTCTTGCTATTTGTAATGGTATCTGAGATCATTATCACAAACTGTCTCACTATACTCAGATGGAGCAAATTGGTCATTTACAATGCTTTTCTCTTCAGCTTCCCTCTGGCAGTCTTAAAGTCTGTCTCCTTTGTTAACGCTGTCTCTTTGCTCTCATGTTGCCCTGCAAGTCAAACAGTACTGCAGCCTGAGGAATGAGTCACTCTTTGAAGGCGTAGACTCCAAGCTGGCAAAAACAAAACATCCATACTGTCTGAGGAGCTTTAAGTCTGTTCAGTACGTCAAATGACATGACCTGAGCTCTTTCAACTGCAGACAACAATTTTGCCACTCAGTCATCGACAATCTGTTGTTCAGTCTCAGTGCAGTTTCTCTTAGACAGCAAGACTTTCTGTCTGGAGCGTTTTTGCACTTGGTGATCTGCTGTATCCTGACAGCATTGAGGCATAGGTGAGAGCAGACAGGCCCATCTCCTGCAAGTCACAACACACCAGCAGCAACTGAAAGCTTTATCTTATAACTGTCAGTGTTGTACGATAATTTACAGTAGCTGTTATGTCCCTGCTAGACATTAATCCATTGACAAGCTGCAATCATGGGTGAAATACCAGAGAAACTTGGAGAAATGATGAGACACACATTAGGATGAGACAAAAAGGGGAGTGAAAGTGTGTGGGGGAATTATCACAGGAATACTACACCAAAATACTCACTTTCTGTAGGCTTGAAAGGATTTGCAGCCGATTCCTTCATGGAGCACATTTACAGTGGACTCTGAAAAAAAAAAAAAAAAAAAGGAGGTAGAAATGTATTAAGACCTCCAACAAAATAACATAAGATAATCAATAGTAAGAAATCCTTGGTAAGAAAGGGAAAATGACATTTGTCTGGCCTTTCTTCAGTGTTTGCTCTCTGCTTGTAAAATACTTATAAAAAATATTCAAATGAAATAATCTGAGAAGTAAACATCACTTTGCTGAAACTGATCACACCTAGCAACACCACAGTGTAAAAATACCGTTTCAAGTAAAAGTCTTACATTTAAAATGATACTTAATTAAAAGGTACAAAATTTTAGCATCAAAACATAGTAAAAGTAAAAGTACTTGTTATGCAGAATGGCACATTCACATTAATGTATATCATATTATTGAATTATAAATACTGATGCATTATTTAATGTTGCAGCTGGTAAGGGGGGAGCTACTTTTAAAGAACTTATATGCATACACTTTAGACTGCTGAGTAGCTTGTGAATCTTCCACCTGAGATCAATAAAATCTTATGATTATACTGTAATTTCTGTATTGGTTCTGAAAAGTAACTAAAGTTATAGAGATACCTCAAAAATTGTACATAATTGCAGTACTTGAGTAAATGTACTTAGTTACTTTCCACCACTGGGGAAAACTGAGTGAAACTGAACATACATTGCCTCGATGGAGACGTGATGTTGCAAGAATGATTTGAGATGTTTACATTGTGGCGAAATAAATTTATCTACTGTGCTAGTGCTGCACATACATGCTAGTGTGAGCAACGGAGCAAAATGCAAATGTTCAGAAACAGTCTTTAAACCGACATCGAGGTGAGCAGTTGATAATCAAAAGATATATTGGGAGTCCCCAACACAGAAAAATGAGGTGGGGTATTTGGATGGAACCAAGAGTCACAGAGAAGGTGCAGAAAGGTGTTGCCCGGAGTAGGAAATGAATGGCAGAAGTGAGAACAGCACCCACAACAGGGGCACGAGACCTGCTGTGACCCTGCTGTTCAGATCCACACTTAAAAGGATTAGTTTTGTGGTACCTGCCAGTGTGTGCATCTGCTTGAATACTTAACAGTGGGGGCACTGGGCAGCATCATCTCCTTTGCACTGGCCTACATATCTAGCAAATAAAGCAGTCATCCAGGCTAATACAGATGTTTACAACTGGCCATGATGAAGACAAATCAGCCGCTGTTTTGCTTGTGAAATTAGACCAGCATCTGATTGTCTCAGCAATCTACTCCCACTCACAGGCAGGTTTATTACTGCAGGATGTCTAGCCTCGATTTCAGCAATCTGATCAGCCATTTGCCCTTTACTGCAGAGACGCCAGGAGGATTAGAAGTACCTTTGTGGGTTCACGCTCTGAATCTGCATTCCTGAATTTCCCTTCTCTATTCTGCTATTCCAAGTGGCTCTGACGTGCACAGAGAGCCCAGTCATCCTATCCCTGAACCGCCAGTGCTGACGTCATGTGCACAGGAAGCAGACAATAGCAGGGTTTTTGGCTAGTTATGATAATTTGGGTTTGTGTCCCTAAAAATGGCAGAGCGATTGACAGAGACACACCCAGGAGGGGTGATGGAGAATGAGGGAGACAGAGAGAGAGAGAGAGAGAGAGAGAGAGAGAGAGAGAGAGAGAGAGAGAGAGATGGTGCTTGGCCTGCCTGCTGACAAAAGGCTACAGAGCAAAGCCACAAATTGCATACAGTCATGAGAGGATTTGTAATGAGAAGCTGAACTCAACACACAACCACATACTGGCAGAAATAGTTGGCGTTCCACATTCATCGTGCGGCAATTGCCCATCAGTGAACTGCGTGAGAAAATGCCTTCAACAGCACATTAAAATGATGACCTTTCCCTTGTCACCTCTCAAGATTTTCAACTTTATTGTTTTCTGTTTCTCAGCAGATTGACTCAACAAAGTCGAGACCAACCTGGGCCCCTCCCTGAGGTGGTTTGGCAGCAGAAACACAGACTGTAGAGATTAATTAACCCACGGTTTACTGCTTTCTGCAATAAAGTGCCGCTAATTAAAATGTGGGAGTGTGTGCTGCGCCTTCGTATAGTGTGACACTGCGTGTCTTTATCTGTATTTGTCTGTAAGACTGAATTTACATCTGGGACCAGCATGTGATTACATAATTTTTTAAAATGTCTTTTAACATCAAAAGCCGAGCAGGGAGAAACTGACAAGTTTGAAGGAGTTACTGATATTTTAGATGGTACTATTTTCTTTCCATCATGTGTTTTCAGGTGGATGCACACACATTTCCCTGAGGGATTAGAGCGTGTGTATGAATTGCTTGTGTGACTAAGCTGTGCAAGGGGAGGTCAGATAAGACGTCAAAGATGGAGAGAGTTGGCAATAATATTGAGTACCCAGTTCTTGAGCTTTTAAATTAGACTCCACAGACTGATAGACATCGTAGAGGGCAACCATAGAAAATAAACCAGCTTTTATCTGTGATCGTGGAGGATACATTTAGAGTATTTATCAAGGGCTGCAAGGCTGAGGCTGGAAGGGTTTGTTTTCTTAAAGATGGATTAGAAAGCAAGATGGGTTTTCACATGACACAAGGCTAAATTCTTTGCTTAAGGCATGAATCTAGGCATGGCGGTGTGTTGGATGGTCCAGCACTTTGGTTTTAACTAAAATTTCTTAACCACTGTTTTAATGCTTGTCATGAAATTCTGTACAGACATTCATGACCCAGAGGATAAATGCTACTGTGTGGTCCTCTCACCTTACCTCTGGTGCCCCAGTGAGGTTGACCTTTAGTGAAATATCTCAACAGCTATTTGGTGAATTGACATTAAATTTGGTACATATGGTGTCTAAAACATAAATCCTTAAGGCAGTGGTGATTTCCTCACTGTTCCTCTAGTGCCACACTCAGGTCAAACTTTCACTTCCCTTGTGGAATGTCTTAGCATCTACGAGATGGATTAGCACCAGATTTTGTACAGACATTTAAGGTTTCTAGACAAAGAACCTCAATCCTACTTTGGTGATCTATTGGACTTTCCCTTTAGCCCCATCATAAGGTGGACATTTGTGGTTTTAAGTTGTAGCATAGGTAAAAGTAAAGGATTGGGTGCCAGAGAAGAGAACAATAATCTATTTTCCTAACCCGTCACTTTTACAGCATAACAGAGAGAAACAAATTCTTCCTGGAAAGCTAGAAACCTGCTACATGTAAGCTGCCTCATACCACTCAGCATTAAATAAGGCTTATTGAATGTTGCCAAGGCCAAAGTTCACAAAATATGTACAATTCAAGATGCAGACGTGATCATCAATATGTAGAAGTAAATTAATTAAAGAGTTCTTTCTGATCAATCATCAAAACAATAACAGAAATAAAATCACAGTTACAGAGATTAACATACAGATGCACAACATAATACAACTCAAGTGTAACTTCACTCAGTTCAATTTATGTGACGGGGCTAGGAACGCGACAATGTGATGAGAAAGCCTGGAGAGTGGAAGGAAAAGAGAACTGTACAGACATCTGGGGTTGACATCTGGGGAAAGAACAGGCCACATCCAACTGGATCAAGAAGGATGAAAGTCCTCATCCAACCCGCTCCAAAGATCAACACTTTAATGGTTCAAACCATCAGTTTCATTCAGTTCCTTATTTACTCTTTTGCACTCTAATTTTACTTTAGTTTAGGGTGAATTCCTGATTTAGGTTAAAAGTTATCACTTCTCCTGTTCTTCACCATGTTCTCTTTGTTAGTCCCAGGTGTGCCTCATTTAACTCCTTCACTTTCACTACTTCCTGACTCTGTAAGAGCAACAGCTTCTCCCTTCCTCCTTCTTGCCTCAACAACTACATATCGGTCCTCAGTCCCAGCGTCCAGACTCACAGACCCACACACTTTGAGGCGCCCCCACTAAGTCGGTGAGGGCTCAGGGCTGTCCCACTGTGAAATCAAATGCGTGAGGGCCCTTTCACCTTCACTTTGAGCCCCTTATACTCACTTTCTGTAAATTGGTATTTCTGCAGATGGAACCTGAGGGAATTCCCCACAGTTCATTACGCTGTGACGTGAAACACAGGATTAGTTTATCCAAGGTAGGCTGGAAGCATAAAAAAGTTAAACAAATGCCATAAAAGGGAGATAAGAAAAATAAAAAAGAAGAAAGGTAAATGAATAAACGTTCTTATGTTTACTGATATTCTTTTTTGTGTTGCTTTGGACAAA